CCCCAAAACCCCAAAACCCCAAAACCCCAAAACCCCAAAACCCCAAAACCCCAAATAGTAAATATTATTCTGTGTTTGCAATAGTAAATTATTTTAAAAATGGATACCCAGGAAGAGCAGAAGGAGAATTCAAGTAAACTAAAAATGAGATCAAAGGAGTTTAAACCAAGTAACCCTAAGCCAATACCATCACAAACTCCAACTGTTGAGACTCAAGCACCAGTTGATGGAGGAATGGATCAAGTTCCTGCTGCTTTGACCCCTATTCAAGATAATTATCAAGCAAATCCATTAATAGACCCAAGCCAATATAATGATGCAAATCAGCTGTATCTGCAATATGTAAATTATTACTTGAACTGTGGACTTAGCTCAGCTGATGCAGAAGCCTGGGCTAAATATTATATTGATGTTCAAAGCTGTGAACAACACCCTGAGCAAAATCAAGCTTATTTCGGTGACCAATATAAAGAAAATAGTAGTTATCAAGAAGAATATCATCAAGAAGAGTACCATCAAGATGATCACGCAGAGGGAATTAAACAAGAGTATGAAAATTACTACGAAACTGATAAGTTTGGAGATAAGACCAAGAAACCTAAGGGTGAACGCAGAAAGGAGAAATATAGAGGTCAGCACCATGAGAAGTACCATGAAGCTGAAGAAGGATATTATGATGAACTTGGATTCTATTACAACCCAGATGGATCTTTCTATGATCCTGATGGATACTACTTTGATCCAGATGGATATGACAAATATGGTGGCTACTACGACGATAATGCAAATTACATCAAAGCAGGTGGTAGAGACCCTTACTCCAGGGATTTCAGAGGTAGAAAATACAGATATTATGAAGGTGATGAATATGAAGAAGAAGAGGAAGAAGTTGAAGATAAGTACACTGACGAGTATATCCAATATATCACAAATTCTAAGTATTACGAAGATCTTGAATATTTGAAAAATACAAACAACAAGTGGGCATACCTGAAAGTTGGTAATTTAGCAGAAGGAACTGTCAAAACTGACTTGTTAAAATATTTTGGAAACCAGAACATTGAGACTAGCCAGATTACAATTATGATGACTGGAGGAAATAAGAACCCAGTCGGAGGCTTAGAGATTTATAGAATCCCAGTTGCCATTCAAGTGTTGAAGGAATGTGGTAATACCCTTAATGGAAAGCGCTTGATCATAGAGGTTGATAGTGTCAATGAAAAGTTGTATAATGGAACAGATACAAAGTTAAATGAATACGAATATGAAGACGAAACTGATGCTAGATACACAAAATTTGATCCTCAGCCCGAAGAACCCAAGGAGGAGGAGGTCGAGGAAGGCGAGTTCAAGTAAACAGGTAGCTTGCCCATAGCTAGCAGCTACAATCTGTTTAAGAAAAACTTATCTGAAATAGAAGAGAATTTAACTTTATGAGTTTAATTCTAATAGTTGCAGGCAGATACTCTTCAATGTTTTATAATTTACTGGGGTTTTGGGGTTTTGGGGTTTTGGGGTTTTGGGGTTTTGGGGTTTTGGGG